TGTTCACCAAATGAATGAACGAATGAATGAGTTAACTCATGTCAGAAAGTTTTTGTTAAAATTCACAGGGACTGAGGGTATCCATCCCTGTTCAGAATGGGGGTTCTTGAGGGAAGAAAACACCCCACAGGATAAAACCGTCTGTCTGCAAAATTCTCTAGCTTCACGTCTGGACCAAATAATTCTCTCCAGCATCTTAGACACAAGTTGTAGAAAGTATGGATGGGATTCGCGGGGGAAAAAATGTTGGGAAAAAGACTTGGATCAGCTCTTTCTGCACTGATTTCCTGAATGGTTAGCCCTGAAATTGTGCAGTACAGTGGATGTTGCCATTTGACTTTGTTGATCTTTTGCTGTACCATGAAATGTTGAATCTCCACCAAGCAGCAATATAATGCTTCAGACTAATAGCTCCTCTACCCCAGCTATGGTACTGAGTTCCTATCCATTTATTTCCCCAAAATGGGCAACATGAGCTCCCTTAGGACCATCGCAGATGGTCTGAGTGCAAAGCACACAAGGAAAGCAACCAATAGAAGCCTTGTGCTTCCAGGAGTGTCTACAGGTTAGAACACAATTGCTTTTAGAGTGATTTGTGAGCACAGTAAGTCGCAAGTGAGCAGAAATTTGTGACTTTTGGATGAACAGGTCACCTGTCTTAGTGAAAGATTTTTTATCTACTTGCTGGTCTCCTTCAGAACAGAAGGTCACAGGACTTCAAATAGCCCCACAAAAGCCAAAGGTCAGCAGGTAATCAAAATGTGCTAAGCTTGGTCTTCTACTTCACTGTGTGCTGAGAATGAAGCAGGAGCAAAAATAAATGCACTTGAGAAATATTTAGACAGAAGTAGACATTTCTTTAACCCTAAGGGCTACTGGGGATTTGTGAGAAGGAAGCCTGGAAATAAGCTCCACGTCTGCTCAGGCTCCTTAGAGCAGCAACCATGTCATTTTCAGATTCATGTCCCTAGCAACTGATTCAGATTTACTCCCTGGCCCAGTATGAGTGCTCAGTACTTGTTTGGTAAGTGTCCAGGACTGTATGAAATGACTCATAATGGAAAGACTGTCTCAAAGAATAGGGAGAAGATTTCCCAGGGGCTGACAAACTACACCCTGTGGGCCAAATCAGCCCCCACATGTTTCTGTATAGCCCACAAGCTAAGAATGGTTTTTACATTTTTAAATAGTTGGGGAAATCAGAAAAAGAAGATTTCGTGACAGGTGAAAATAGTATGAGATTCAGATTTCAGTGTTCATAGATAAAGTCTTATCGAAACACAGCTGCACCCGTTCCTTTACATATTGTCAATGACCATATGCCCACAGCCTAAAATCTTTATTACTAGACCCTTTATAGAAAAAGTTTGCCAACTCCTGTTCTAAAGCTTTAAAATGTGTGAAAAGCTAAGAGAGAGTGAGAACAAGAGAGAGAGAGTTGATAGGAAATTGCTTAACAATCAAAGTGTCTTAGTTCAGCCTACTATAACAAATTACCATAGGCTGAGTGACTTATAAAATAGAAATTTATATTCTCACAGTTCTGGAAGCTGGAAATTCAAGACCAAAGCATCAAGAGATACCTTAGTTAGGGCCTACTCACTAATTCACAGACAACAGACTTAACATGATATCCTCACATGGTGGACAAGACAAGGAGGGGAATTATCTTCCATCTCTTCTTATAAGTGTACTAATCTCATTATAAGGACTCCATCTTCATGACCTGAGCTAAACTGAATTACCCACCAACAGGTTCCATCACCAAATACTATAACACTGGAGAGTATCGCTTCTCAGCCTCTTGGCTAAGATCAAGTGTATAATACTGTAGATTAGGGCTTCAATGTATGAATTTGGGAAAAGAGGCACATTCCATCCATAGCACAGAAAAGAAGCATTTTCTTTCACTGGGAGTGTCCACAATAGAAACCTGCTTTTCAGAGATGTGTTTAGAAGTTTCAAGCATGAGGTTATGAAATAGTGGATTACCAGGCATGGTGGCACATGCCTGTAATCCCAGCACTTGGGAGGCTGAGGCAGGAGGATCGTTTCAAGATTGAGACCAGCCTGGGCTACAAAGTGAACTCAAGGCCTGCCTGAACTGCGTAGTGAGACCCTGTCTCAAAAA